CTCATTGAGAACTAGAGTACTTAAGTGCTATGTTTTCTCCACCTTGCTCTATGGTGTTGAAGCCTGGACAATGACAGAAGCAACACAAAAAAGAATCCAAGCATTCGAACTCTGGTGTTACCGTAAAATGTTCAGAATATGCTACATGAGCCATACGACAAATGCGGAAGTCTTGCGGAGGATGAATAAGGAAAGAGAGCTTATGCTTATAATAAAAGAACGGAAAATACAATATTTTGGTCACATCATAAGAAATCAAAAGTATGAACTACTCCAACTTATAATCGAAGGCAAAGTCAATAGCAAAAGAGGACCAGGAAGAAGACGCAACTCTTGGCTTAAAAACCTACGGCAATGGACGAACATGACCTCCATAGAACTATTCAGGGCTGCTACAAATAAGATTAAATTGCCAAATGTAATGGCCAACGTCCTCAAGGATAAGGCACCGTAAGAAAAAGAAGAAGTAACTAAAGAACATATAGTTAATTTTTCGTATTTTAAGGCTAATGTACAGTAAATCAAATGTACATACATTAAACGGACCACAAGTCACCTCTCCAATATATTCGATATTCAAAGAAGTGTAACTCAACACAGTTCTAAAACCATGCGGCTACTTCGTTGTCCTGTGCTAGTACATGAATTGTATATGATCGTAAGGTAACGTAGCAACCTCGCTACACCGCCATTTATCATGATTTTTTGTATATAAACCATTTATGACTTCTGTAAGATCCTGAAAGGACTGGAAATAAATTAAAATATAATAAAATACATGAACCTAAGCAAGAAAAAGAAAACACAAATGACAGTAGTGACAATAGATGCACACATCTTCGAAAAGGTTGAAACATTCAAATATGTGAGAGTACTAGCCAAAAGAAGAAATTAAAGGGTAGATATGAAAAGAAGAATTCAATCGGGAAATACAGCGTTTTATAGAAATAACAAAAATTTTTAGAGATAAAAAGATAAGCCGAAACACAAAAAATCTACATAGCGACCATAAGACCAATGGTAGTAGATGCTGCAGAAACATTTACATTAACAGCAAAAGAAGAACAGCAATTGAAAGTTTTTCAGAGGAAGATTATCAGAAAAATACTGGGACCAAAGAGGGAAAACGAAGAGAATGCAAGACAATAGATGAATCACGAAATACTGAATGGATGGGACAAAACAACATAGTTAGAGCAATAAAAGCACAAAGAGTTAGATGGTATGAAGAAGAAGAGCAATCCGTTAAGAGTTATAACGGAATGGATACCACCAGGTAAAAGAATCAGAGACAGACCTAAACTGAGATGGAGTAGTGGAAAGTGAAGTAGTCGATACAGCCAAGTCAAACCAGAAACTGTAAAATCAAACCCAAAATGGGATGATTCCCCACACAAAAAGGATCTTCAATTAAAAACAGCTTCAGTTTCTTGTCTCGCTTTGAATGAGTACCGATTCGATGGACACAATTTTTTTATTTAATAGAAGATTTTTTTTTATTTACTTAAACGAAAATTCATTAGCTTAGGCCGCTCTGCACACTAAGCTACTCAGGAGAATTATGTTATATAATTTTTTGGTATTACAGAGAGGTAGTATTTTATTAAAATTTGAACCCTTCATTTTAGTGCCCTGCATTGCAGTTGCATAGAAGCAGATATCATAAAAATAGCGGTTGCTGTTTTAATTCCAGGAACGTCTTCAGATCTGAGAGGAATTTAAGTTATCTTTATGGAAATACTAAGCAATTGTGCAAGTGTGGTAAAATATCTTGATAAAATATAATGCCAGTAAAGACAGTGTAAATTTTTTTATAAAGATATGCTATAGGATGGTGTTTCTTAGTATTGATAATTTGAATGATTAAAAGTTTTAGCTTTTAGAGTAGAAAGTTACTAAAACTATAAATAAATTAACGAATAGCAGCATTTTAAACGAGATTTAAAAAAGGCTCACTTTTTGTCAACTATTTGTACGTTTTGCCAGCCACAATGTTTTAAAAATTTGTAAATAAACATAACTTAATAAGTAATGGTATAAATAATCACACTAAAAGTTATGGATGTAGCGAACGTTAAGTGGTAATCGATTAGGTTGTCTCAATACCAACGGCTACAGTACTAAGGTAGGCGCAGCACTGAAAGTACATTTTTGGTGACTTTTAAATCATTGGATTTGGAGATGTGTTCGAAGTACATCTTGAAAAGCGTGGGTGAAAGGATACATCCTTGTCTTACGCAGTTTTATGTTAATTTTTTCCGATACAAAGTTTTATCTATTATTCTCTGTTTGAACCTAGTAGACACTATTTGTATATCATGATAATCGATTTTACTCTAAAATATCTAATAAATTTTCGTATTGGTTGTTATTTAATCGTCTGTAAAGCATCTGTAGACGTAGTGATTCACATCCTAACATCTTTGTATCAATATGTCCTGACCTAAGTTAGTAGATGATCTATGATAGCACAACTGTCAGCACAGAGAAACAATGTGTTATAAGAAAAGTCCGCTCATTACATGTGTAAGAGTGAGAACGATATATGATGACGTCACATGCTCCGCCCCAATATGGCCGCCGACCAATGAGAACAAGGTTACAAGCCTCGCTCCAGAACGACTGAAAAGAATAAGAATTGAGAATAAGAATTGACAGTTGACGGCTGCGGAAAAAAGATTTGGCAGAAAGAAAAGAACAAGAATTGACAGTTAACACGATAGCTAACGGCTGCGGAAAAGAAGAGAATTTAATCGCCGAAAAAGAAGAATTGACAGTTAGCGTGGTAGCTGAGGACTGCGGAAACGATTTCTTCTTTTTCTACTTCTTCCTTTTTATAAGCAATTCTGCTTGTTCATTGTGGCGTTCCATGTCTCTATGGAAGGTTGTCACTCCATCTTTTGCGCGGTTGTACGATACTTCTTCTGTCGATTGGTGACTTATATGGGTCTCCTTCATTCTGCTTATGTGGTTATTTAATTTTTTGTGTTCATAAATTTATACACTGTACGTTACATTTTCTTCTAATGTTTTCACTTTTCTTTCGATTTCTCAGCGTATTTCCTGTAATTCTTCTCAGCACTCTCATCTCTGCCGTTTTCAGTAGTCTTTGCGTTGTTGCTATGTCGGGTATTGTTTCTGAGGCATATGCCATTATTGGTCTTACACTGGCTTTATAAATTCTTCAATTCATATCAGTGTCAATGTGTCGCAACATAGTGTTATTAAGGCATCCTGCCAGTCTATTTGTCTTTTGTACTTAGATCTCGTACTTCTTTGTCCAGGTCTCTATAGCTAGACAGTGTAATTCCCAGGTATTTTATTTCCATTATTTGTTCAATACTGATGCCCTTAATTTCTATTTTACATCTTGTTGGTTCTTTGCTGATTACTATTGTTTTAGTTTTCTGAGATTAAATTGTCATATTAAATTCTTTTGCTCTTATATTAAATCTGTGGACACGTCTTTGCAGACTATCTTCATCTTGGTCTATCAATATTGCGTCGTCTGCGTAACAGAGTATTTTGATTTCTTTGTTTTCCATTCTGTATCCCCTTCCATTGTTTTTGACGATTTCATCCATGATAAAATTGAAGAGCATGGGGCTCATTGAATCCCCTTGTCTTATTTCGCTGCCTATTTCTATAGGTTCTGTAAGTTGTCCATCTATTTTGACTTCCATTTTGTTGTTTTGGTAGATGTTTTCGATAGTTTTTATAATACTTAAACGAACTTCTCTATTATACAGAAGATAGGTTACATGTTTGACTCTTACTCTGTCAAAAGCTTTCTTTAGGTCAATCAGACACAGAGATGCTGGTCTATTATACTCTAGTGATTTCTCAGCAGTTTGCTTTATAACGAATATTGCATTTGTACACGATCTTCCACCACGAAAACCCTGTTGTTCATCTGCTAAACTTTTCCTCTGATTTATTAGTTCTTGTAAATTTTTAGTTGTAAGTTTTAGTGTGGTATTTAACAAAAAAGAAGAAGGTGAGGCCATTTTGAGACCGGGCTTGTACATTTCTTTCATTGGGCAGAGGTCATATTGAGGCGGGGCTTGTGACGTCAACATATATCGTTCTCACTCTTACACATATAAAAAAGGTGCTTCCCTCTCTCTAACACATTGATTTCCCTACGCTGATAGTAGTGCCCTCATAGATCATCTACTTCTATAATTTCTTTAATTTTTTCTAAACTTTGCGATTGTCGTATTTTTGTTGTAACTTTCCCATTTACATTCACATATTTTGTCTATCCAGTTTTCCTTTGCTTGTCGAACCTTTTTTCTGTATTTCATATCGTCATTGTTGATAAATCTCCTTCTTGCTTCGATTAGTTCTAATGTGTCTTATGCCTTCTATTTCTGTTTTGGAGCCTGGTTTGCGTGTGCAACTCTGTTTCAGCATTTATTTATGTCCCATTTTTTTCAATGCTTAGTTCATTAACATTTTCCAAGCTTTTATTCAGTCCATATTCAGTATTTTCTTTTTCGATAACATCAATACAGTAATGTAGCTGCTGTCCATCATGATAACTGTTATTCCAGCATGTTTATTAAACTCAGTACTCTTGTTTAAGCTATTTCCCATCATTATATCAAATTATCTGTAAATATCCATTTCCAATCATGTACCTTCTGGTGTACAAAATAATAAATGGAATAATGCTGCATTTAACCATACATGCTTCGTTCTCCATTTTATCGAAAAGAAACCGGAGTGCATGTACCTTGCTCCATATTGATTTTATTAAATCCCATGTTGCCTATTGCAAAATATAGATAAAATATGTTGAATAAATATTATTCAGCATATATATGTTGACTAACCGCTTGTATATCCACCGTATATAATATTGCAATTATATATTAAACCTAATTTATTGATGCGAAAGTTGGCAAACCGTTCAAAAATCTAATAATCAGCTTCTAGGTTCACAATACAGTTGTTTATAACGAAATATTTAAATGAGGTGTTTTTGTTCTTTTCAGGCAATGAGGAAAACGTTCTATCATACGAACCAGTTCAACAGTTGCATATTAATTATACGAGACCTGTTATTGTATTGGGTCCTCTAAAGGATCGTATCAATGATGATTTGATATCTGAGTTTCCTGACAAGTTTGGAAGTTGTGTACCACGTAAGTATTATATATAATTAAAATCATTTTAGTTAATCAATGACGTTTATTATCAATAACGAATATAAATAGACTATAAAGACCATACTATACAGTACAAAAAGTGTGATATTGCTGAATATCTGCAGCTTCAGTCAGTTTATTGTTGCCTTACGTGTTATTGTTGTCTGTGTTTTATTTTTTTTTTTTATTACACAATTATTAAATTAGCATACATACTGCAAAACAGTTCCATTCTTATAAACTTGGAAGGGAGGAAAGTCTACAACACTTGTACACTATCGGCGTTTACCTATGGATTGAAAACCATGAAATACTAGAAACAGCAATTTTAATTCTTCGTAACAAAAATAAACTTTTGGAAAACAAGTCTACTTTAACTTACTCAGCTATTGACAAGACACCTATGCAGCGACTTCAGTTAAAGGAACTACGTCTTCTTTTTCAGACTTAAGTAATCCAACTTTGGATATTGGCGACGTGCAAGTACTTGGATGTAATACGAGAAACGATCGTGCGCGAGTAACGGAGAAATCTTGCATTTTTTACTGCAAATTTCATAGATTTCATAAATTCATATTGTCAATTGTCATATTTCATATTCGTTTGTTTATTTACACCTTCTGTCACTGAAGAAAATGGGATTTAGGAAATGATGTGTTATAAATTGTAAAAATACAACAAAAAATTGTCAATTTAAGTTTTATTCGTTCCAACTTCGAAGCACAAATTACTACAAAGAGAAAATTGGATTTATATCATAAAAAAGCATAAGTAACATAACCTAAATTATGCATTATTTTTGCGCCCGATTTTAAAGTCAGTTTGAAATAAATAATAAATAAAAGTTCACTTTTAAGTGTAAATTTTAGTTTCATAAAATCAAGTTTAATGTTTACATTTTATTTTTTGAAGTTTACAAAAATGCATCAAGTTCAAGTTTTTCTGAAGATGCATTAAGATATATTCGCTGTTCAAAAGTTTACAGGGAAAGAATTAATTGTTCAAACCAATATAATGATATCATGGGCTTAATCTGCTAATTTATGCATTAGCATTAATGGTAATTTATTTTTCTTATTCTTCCACATAATTCTTCCATTCTTTTTTGACATTTGCCACTATTAAAGATTTTCCATTTGACTCAGTGCTTGGTTGAAAAGTTATTTGGTGATTTACTTTCTCAAATCCAGTTTTTATTATTGCATCCATATTAACAGTAATGCTGTAATTTAATAATATATTTATTTGTATTTACACTACATACAACGTTTACCTTTTAATAACATACCGACATAACCTCAATCTTACTTTTTCTTCTTATTCTTTTTTGGGGCTACGTCCTTGACAGTTATCCGGTAACCTCGATCTAACATGAAAGCGCAGTAAATTTTGTAGATTTACGACACCAGGTGTCGCTGTTCCGAACTTGCACGGTCCCAATAGGCCTCCCCCAAATCAATCCAGTGTTTTCTATTTTGCGCCACTTGCTTCCAGCTTCCAGTTGTGTTCTCCGATCTTCCTAATGTCATTAGCCCATCTCGTTTGTGGTCTTCCTCTGCTTTTCTTTCTCAACCATGGTCTCCATTTTTGTATTTCGTGGGTTCATCTTTTCTCCTTTAGTCGAGCATTGTCTCCTGAGAAGCTTCATTTTAATTTGGCAGCATGTTCTCCTGCGTCTTTTACTTTGGTTTTGCTTCTAATCCATTTGTTTGTTTTTTTCTTCTATAAGTCTCACCCCGAGCATTGATCTTTCCATCGCTCTTTGTGCTTTTACTATTTTATCCATATTGGATTTGGTGAGTGTCCACGTCCGTGAACCATACGTAAGTATAGGGAGGATACACTGATCATAAATTCTGGTTTTCAAATATTGTTCTATTTTAGTGCTTTTTAAGATCCAACTCAGTTTTCCAAATCCTGCCCACGCTAACCTTATTCTTCTGGTAATTTCGGCAGTTTGATTTTCTGTGTTAACTTTCATTTTCTGTCCCAGGTAGATGTAGTCGCTTACTGTTTCTAAATTTATGTCGTTCAACATTATTTCTCTAATGTTCGGTATATTTGTCATTATTTTTGTTTTTTTTTTCCAAGTTCATCTTAAGACCTACTTTTTACAAAGCTTGAAATAGTTGCGTTATCAGGGTCTGTAATTCTTCGCAACTTGTATCGAATATTACAATCTCATGAGCGTATCTTAAATGACTCGGTTTTCTTTCATTAACATTTATTCCTTTATCTACCCAGTTAATCTCTTTGAACACGTGGTCTAGTCCAAGTGTGAATAGCTTTGGTGAGATAACATCTCCCTGGAGAACTCCTCTGTTGATTGGTACAGCTTTGGTTTTCGCATCTATTTGTATTTTCATTGTAGCTTTGTTGTAAATATTATATGTATGAGTATTCTGTACCGGGAAATTCTGTAAAGTTCTATGAAGTCGAATGCCTTTTCATAATCAACGAAGCCAATGTATAAGTTCAAGTTATATTCATTGGTATACCGGCAAAAGGACGCGGAAAAAAGTACTCATAAAAAAGGACGCGGAAAAAAGGACGCGCGAAAAAAGGACGCGTGGAAAAAAGGACTCATATTATTAATGAAATACTATAAATAGTTTATTTTAATTGACAATAGCAATTACCCCCGTTTATCCTCTATATATAATTAAAGAAACTGATTCTACCTAACCTAAAATCGGTTACGGTAAAAGTAAAAAGTGAAAAATATTTATATGAAAAAAACTTGCCTTCACACTTTATCCAGGCTTAGGACTGGCAGCAGAAGCTGGCGTGTTTACAAGATTTTTTTATTTTTTTTAATTTTGTGCTTTTTTTCGAATTTTTTTGTCATTTTATTTTTTTTTTGTTTTATTTTTGATATTAATTTTTTTTTTTGAATTTTTTTATGTTTGCAACTGAAAATTGTGAGCAATGCCTCTCAAATATTCTAAAGTTGGCCTGTCAGCATAATCGGCAACAATAGCCCTTATCCTGTTTGCTGTATCTTGATATTTTCTTTTGCGTGAAGGTACATTGCCCGAAATGTACTGCTTTATTTTCAAAACATTTAAATCATTACAACAATTTTTTTAGAGAATTATTAAATTTCCAAATATTCGGATGTGCACTATTGAGAAGAGAAGAAAAGCTGTTGTGCCATCCTTCGACAGCATTATTAGTTCGAGGTATATCTTGGTCTGCCAAATCGTAACAATTCCATACATTTGCTGGAAAAAGAGGTTGTCTTCGATTTCATCTTCTAGCTAATCTCCCTATCCAAGTGTCTTTAAAGTAATTAATCAGCGGCACTAGTAGTTCTTCATTTTGTGTATAAAAATCGCTATTGAGCAACTCCTCGTACACTCTGACTACATGGTTGTCTGGAACAAACGCAAGAGCTGTCAATTGTCTTAGGTGAAGGGCGAAGTTAGATTCTCATTATATCTATGTTGCAATCCGGCACTTTGAATATGGCGCCACATACACTGCGAGAAATGAAAAAAACATCCGCGGATTCTCACATTTGGGAACTCAGTTTGTGCAGCTTTCAAAGTCCATCATTATTGTTAGAGGGCGCAAGGCCGGATTCAACACCTTTAGTTGCTGAAAAACACGTGTATAAGTCTCTTGTGTTTTGTTCGTTAGAAGTGCAAATACAGTCGGGATTACATTACTGTATCGCACTCCATGAATTGTGTATATTTGAGAAAACAATGGTGGTGCTGAGTTAAATGTTCCATCGGCATACCAATGATCGCATTGTTCCATAAATCTTAAATTTCTTTGTGTTGAAAATAACAAAATACGTTCTTCTTCTGGCCCGCTATCAAATAATAGAAATAGCTCACCGCCTGTAGTTGTTTTATATTCTTCAGGAAGCACAAGTTCTTCTAAATTTCTCGGATTTGCGGGCGTACCTCCTAGCTCGTTCCGAACTCTTTGCAAAGTTTCTTAACGACGACACTGATGGAAGTTGTGCCGTAGCAGCTAAGGAAAGTCCTTGAGAAATTTCACTTACTACACCTTGGGTGGAGTGTTCCAGTTGTCGTGCAACTTCTTTCATCCGGTTACAAGCTTCTTTTGCTTCAATCTTTGCCGTGTCTGCAACGTGATTATGTTCTGTGAATTTGTAATTTCATCCACAACGGTATGCACTCTTCCTGTACATTTGCACTTATTATAAGTAGCATACTTCCAAATTGTCTTTTCACCAATCACTCGCTCTTTTTTATGTAGAAATCCATTATAAAGTAACAAGTTGTTGCCTTTTTGGCTTTTCACAAACGCTAACACCATCTTAACAGACTGATATCAATTTGTAAAATGTTTTCTTGTTAAGAACAGAATAAATTACCTACCGCGACAAGTTTCCCCTATATAAACAATTTGGTTAATGATGTTTTGTTATATCGGACCTTTTCTAATATTCATTTCTTAAAAACAATTATCAAACAATTAGAAAGTTTTATTTTCTTACTAATTGTTTTCTATTTACATTCTTAACATTACCTGCGGAATTTACCAACCTTCCGGTTCGCGTTAAACCCTCATTAGACCCCTTACTGGGCTGGTACTTGGGTTTTTCTAATCCCATACATAATTCTGATAATATGGAATCTAACCTGTTTCAATACCAGAAATCTTGAATCAACATTATATTAGTATTCATTATTTTACTTAAGATATTTTAGTCCTAAGCCTCGATAAAATATGAGGGCAAGTTTTTTTCATATAATTATTTTTCACTTTTTACTCTTACCGTAACCGATTTTAGGTTAGGTAGAATCATTTTCTGTAATAACATATGGGGATAAAAAGAGGGTAATGGCTAATGTCAATTAAAATAAACTATTTATAGTAATTCATTAATAATATGCGTCCTTTTTTCCACGCGTCCTTTTTTCGCGCGTCCTTTTTTTCGCGCGTCCTTTTTTCCGCGTTCTTTTGTCGTAGATTCTATTCGTTGGCTTTCTCTATTAGCGTTTTGACTATAAGAAGAT